TATTTATATATATATATATATATACATATATATATATGTATATATATATGTATGTATATATGTATGATTAATTAATTATATACATTGTTTATGTACACTGAAAAGAAAAATGGTTTTGGACAAATCTTAAACTCGTTTTTCATTTATCACGCAGAGGAACTTCACTTCTATTATCTTTTCTTTTTTTTTAACATAGGAATGTTGAAAAACAATGTTTATGCAAAAATCTAAACCATTAATAATAAATGTTTTTATCCTGTTAATTATCTTAATTATGATGTAAATAAATCATTTACAATTATATATATATATATATCTCCTTCTCTCTCTTTCTCTCTCTCTTTTTCTCTCTCGGATGAATTGTACAATTAATCAGTCAAATTCCTATTTGACCAAAATAAACATGTATGTATATTTATATATATATATATATGTATGGTAGTAATAGTAGTAATAGCAATAATAATAATAATAATAATGATAATAATAATAATAATATTAATAATAATAATAATACTAATAATAATAAAGGATACAGGGTAGCAAAAAGGAATTATATATAAATGTCAATATATTTACATTATCGATGAGTGTCGCTTAAAAGTTATATTGTCTTATCGATTATTAACTTCTTCCTACTGCATCGTATGGCTTATCAATGAAACACGCAAAATTTGATGAATCGATGAAGCAAAAATAATAATAAAAAATAAAATATATCGCTAAAGATATTCATTTTTTTTGTTTTTGTAATAGGACACTTCGGCACCATATTCCATGAACTCCCATCATTCCTTCTTCCTTTTGAACTTGCTCACTTTTTTTTTTTTTTTTTTTTTTTTAAATAGAACATCGCTTATTCCTTATTTATTTGGTTTTTTTTCTCGGGGTTTTCTTTTCTTTTGTTTTTTTTTTTTTCTTTTCTATCTCATTTCATTTCAGAATAAAATTCAAAGCGTATAGTAGAAAGGCTATCTTTGTATGTACCTCGAAAAAGTGTAATGTCGTTGTGATCTTTTTTTCAAAGTTTTCATACACACACGAATGGATTAATAATTCCTTCGTTCGTTCATATAACATAATTGTCATGATATACTCTTCTTCGGTAGGACACACAAATTTGTGACATTTTACGTATTAGCGTGTCTCTGATACTCGTCCAAATACTTTCTCAAATATGACATAAAATCTACTAAGGCTGTGGACAACGATCTGTCCACAACTTTTTGAGGTAGCCAACCCTTCAGATTGGTATTAAGGATCCAAGTGAAACGGCACTTGCTAGAATCGCCGTCTGCTAATTCCTCGGCCGCCCAACAGCTTACGCCATTTTCACCCCTTCGAAGAAAAAAAAAAAAAAAAAAAAGAAAAAAAAAAAGACCAACGAAACAGAAAAACAAAAAAACACGTATCTCATTAATATATAAGAAATTTAATGAATTTTATGGATTATCGATTTTTTTTGTAGCTCACCTGGTAACATTTTTACGATTTGGAAATGATTTCAATGTCACCGACATACCACTGCTGATATAATAATTACCATACATGTTACGATATCTCAAAATAATAAAATCTCGTGCACCAATCAGTCCACCGCCTTGAGGACCTGTCGCCTGATAAACTATATCTGTGTTCTCGTCAATTTGCTGTAAAAGCAATATGTCAATCATATATATTAATTCTCCTTTTCTAATCAATTTAAATTGAAATTAGATATCACGAATTGAGAATTACCTGCAATTTCATCGATTCGGTTACGAGTTTATTCCACGTTGGTGCTGCTTCGACACCATCGAATAACCAATTGATGAGCATATTAGCAGGCGCATCTACTATGCCCTAACAGAGAAATAATATTTATTTATAACAAAAAAATATATATATATATAAAAATATGCTTGTGCGTGTAAATCGTATCACTTACCGTAATTTTCATTATTTTTCCTTCTGGTCTATTGGTTTGCATATATGAAACAACATCACCCTTTGACGTTGTGGTTTCCAATTTCCACTCTTTGGACATTAATAGCTCATAACAATTTTTTAATAACGTTTCAGCCGTCATTTTGTATTCCTCAATCTGAAAAGAAAAAAAAAATATAAATAAATAAATAAATAAATAAATAAATAAATGTAAAGTAATCGATCCTATGTACATAGAAATAAATTAAAATTCTATAAGATCATAGAAAACGATAATCGATAATACAAAGGATATTCCACAAATGGTCAGTACTTTGCTCATACTTTAGAATCATATTCTGAATCATAATCGAATCTCATTACTTGGAAAATTATTCGTAATCGCATTATAATGCCGCGCATGAAAAAAAAGAAAGAAAGAAAGAAAGAAAGAAAGAAAAAAAAAAAAGAAAAAGAAAGAAAGAAAGAAAGGAAAGAAAAACAAAAAAAACTTACAGATAATTCCGTAGATTCGTTCGACGATTTTTCGATACGATTCTCTTTGGAATCCATAGGGGATTTTTCTTCTCCGTTATCGCCGAAGAAGAAACTTTTAATGAAGTTAACGTTACAAGCGTTAAGAATAAAAGATTTCATTGTTAAAATTCTAAAATTCGTAGAGAACAATTTCAAATAATAATACGGAAAAAAAAAAAGAATTATTAATTAAAAGGATTCGCCAAAAAGAAAAGAGAAAAAAATAAAAGAAAAAAAGAAAAGAAAAAAAAAAAAAAATGAGATTTCACATGTCAAATAAATAATTAATGGTATTCGATTATTGCACTTTACACAATATATCCCAGATTAGTTTCACAGTCAACTAAACTTGATTCGATACTTTGATACTCTTTTTATACTCGATCAATGGAATTACTCACATAGTGTTTTCTTTGTTCACCATTAAAGGGGCTCGAAACATGTTTCATAATCAACTACAGCGAACGAGAATATTTTTAAGGTAATTAAGTTAAGTATTTACAATTGAAAACGAAAGAGAAATAAAGAAAGAAGAAAACATTGAAGAGAAAATAGAAAACAAACCTTATCGATTGTTAATTTTGGTAATGGCTTAGGAATAAATATTTCATTTGTCTTCGATATTCTTCTAATGGCATCCTGCCTTCTAACGAATTCGTCTTCGGTATCGGAATGAGCTGGAGAATCCACAGGCGTGTAAAAGGTACGCGAAGGTTCAATCGAACTATACTGATGTGGATCCACAGTATCGGCTTGAATGAGAGGTGCTCTTTCCGTGTTTGACATATCTACAAAATTTGATAACGAAAGGATTAGGTATGTATGTGTATCTTGAACACTTCTTTTTTCCTTTCTTTCTTTTTTTTTTCCATAAATTAGATATATCCAAAAATTAAACAGAAATTTCTCTCTCTCTCTCTCTCTCTCTCTCTCTCTCTCTCTCTCTCTCTCTCTCTCTCTCTCTCTCTTTCTCTCCATATATACATATATCTCTCTATCTATCTATCCATCTATCTCTTACTTTGAATCCAATTTATAACATGTGTTTCCTGAGGTATCACACGGAAATCGAAGAACCAAGCTTCCGCCCAAGAAAGAATGAAAGAAGTCAGTATCAAGAGTACTTGAAAAACTGGCTGTTTACAAGCTAACCACTGAAATTGATCGAACGTGCGTAATATCATTCGTCGGTCATTTATTTTGTTATATCAAGCAAAATATGCAAGATTTGCGACTTACGTCGAAAAGAAATACTTTCGCAAGTAAAAAGGCACAGGTCGTAGCTGTCGTTAACTATAAAAAAGAAAAGAAAAAAAAAAAAAAAAAACAAAAAAAAAAAAAAAAACAAAAAAAAAACGAAATAACATTTTATTTCCCAGATTAATTTTTATATAAATATCAATTCGAAATGAGATTTATATACTTACGGCTACGATGATCCAATGATTTAAATGGAGCAATGCGTAAAATAGCAACAACACCGTGAACCTACATATTGCTGTCATCTGAAAATGCGAAATCGATAAATTTTTGTTTTCTTCTTAGCGAAAATTAAAGAAATGTCATTCGTATAAATAAAAACAAATTTCTTTTTTTCTGTTTCTATCTCTACTTTTCTTTTTTTTTTTTCTTCTTTTTATTTTATTTTAATCTTCCTTTCTTTATTTCTGGTAAAAGAAAAAAAAAAAAAAAAAAAGAATAATAGAAAGTAAAAAAACCAACCCTTATTCTTACCACAATATCGAAGAGGGACGTCTTTATGTGATAATGAACAATCTGATTAATAAAAGCAGTTTCGAGATTTTCCCCGGCTATCTGAAAGAACAATACGTAATAAATAAAATGTCAAATTATTTAACATATTATATAACGTTAATTGCATTTAAAAAAAAAAAAAAAGAAGCACGTGGTTGATCAGTCTGACGAGTATAATAAATACTCATGTAAAGTGCATAAACTTATATAATTACTATATAGTATACAATCGTATGTAGATCTTTATTACAATTTGAAAACTGCTTATTCTTTTTGTTTTCATTTTTTTCCTTCACTTTCAAAACAAAAAATAATGCGTTAAAAAATATAACTACGTATTATTCATTTTGTCTTTATTTAATACTATGTGGATTTAATCCTTTGACGCTCGACGACTTTTTCGATCGATATAACTCGAGATGATTTTGCGCGAATTATCTTAACGAACGTCTTAAAGTTCTTTTGTATTATAAAAATATAAAATGATTTTACATACAAATGAACTTACAGAAGAAACGTTATATTTTATTGAAAGAAAGAAAGAAAGAAAAAAAAAATAAAATAAAAAGAATAAAGAGAATGAAAACGAAAAAAAAACGAAAAAAAAAAAACAAAAAAAAAAAAAAGAAAAAAAAAAAGAAAGAAATCTCCCGCGCTTTTTCAAAAGAAACCAAACAAAACTCACCATAGTACAAATTAGCCACATGAGCACGGTCAAAAGAAGATCGAAGGTTACGAAGAGACAAAAAAAACGACGAACGTTCGACATCCTCCCGTCTTGTCTCGCACCAGCTATTAAATCTTCGCTAAGGACTATGTCGGACGTTCTTGTTAAACTTTGTTGCGTGTAAGAACTTCTTTGGGAATTGATTGAACCGCTTAGGACGTTCTCCACCGCGTTCCTTATATTTTGTCTATCATCTTCTTCCATTCTGCGATAATTCCTTGGGAATATGCAACGGTGACCTATTTAACGTGTTCAATATATTCTTTTAATTTCTTAGCTTTTTTTATTTATTTATTTATTTTTTTTTCTTTTTTTTTTTTTTTTTCTTCAACAAAATATAAACCCCATATAAAGGATTTTTAATAAACAAAGTTATACGACGAATCAGATACCATCTTTCAATTTAATGTAATAAGTCGACGACACTTTGACAATAGTATAATTTTTCATTCTTGTTGATACGTCTCTATTTCTATCTCTTTCTCTTTCTCTCTCTCTCTCTCTCTCTCTGCGTGTATGTGCGTGTGCGTGTGTGTGTGTAGTACGTATGATTTGTACGTCTTTGTACGTGTGAATGTCTAAATGCGAACGATGCGTACGTATATATGTCTCCTATAAACTGTATGTACAAAGTTTTAATATAATTTACATATGCGCTTGGCAAAAATTTTGAAATAATTTTCTCTGATATTACGTAGAGGACAACGAGAAACGCGTCCATACGATTTCAATGTCTTCTTCAACTTCGACAGAACATGTGAAAGTTCGAACGTCGATTAGATAGGTAAATAAACATAACTTTATATCCGATCGTAACCGCATTCCATTTCTTATTATATTTTGTTATATGCATTGAAAATATATGCTCGACGACAAATTTCGAACTTTATACCTTTAATCTTATCATCTCTTTTTCAGTTTAAATCTATAAAGGATAAATTTGGCTAAAAAAGATAAAACATATTATTCTATTCTTTAAATGTAAACTAAGGACAATATGAGGACTGATTAGGTATTTATCAGAGAAAGAAAAAATGCAACAGTTGATTTTATTGATAAACGCGATACAACAACGTTTAATAATTTCTTCTTCATTGTTTCTACCGTCGAAACAATACGTCATCGTTAATTAGCATACACCTATAAAATATCTCGATAAGAAAACGATTTTTTTAATAGTGAATAGTTCGATCCTTGAACGATCGAATGTCGATAGAAAAATATGGCTGCAAAGAAGTACATTCCTACAAAATATTTTAATTACAATAATTGTCACTAAAAGTGAGTGCGTTCTAACCTCAAAATATAGATAATTATAGGTGTATACAAGTGACTTTAATAACGTTTATAATTTCATTTATATCGTATAAATTTTGCAATTTTATTTCTTTTTCTTTTCTTCTTTTTTACCGTTGTCCTTAAATAATAATCGAAACACGTGTTCAAAGAGGATTTAATAATAATATGAAATAGAATAAAATAATATAAAATCGTTAATACCAACGAAGATATCTTTCCTTGTTCGTTTATAAATGCTTTAGAAAAGTTCACACGATCGTCATTCTCGTCGTTACCTTTTTTCTTTCACACTGGACCCTCATATATCCGGTTGAGAAAAATTATCGCGGCAAACTTTCGACACACACATCGTAAAACGTTATTTCTTTCTAAGATCGATCCGAATTTGCCGATCTCACGAAATCCAATACTTTTCATAGAATCACTTTGGATGGTGTATGGTTGTGAAAGTAAACACACACGCGTCGTACAGTCGCGATGTAACGAAGAACGATTGTCCCTCATGAGAAATTTACTTCAAGTGGTTACCACTAGGCGTCGCGACCGAACGAACACTTACGAAGGTAAACGATCTCGACCGAATACTTTCGTTTTTATTTCTTTACTTATCTTCCTTTTTTTTTTTTTTTTTTTTTTTATTTTATTTTATTTTATTATATGTTCTTTTTCTACTTGTCATTTATTTTCTATTATTTCCTTTATATTACGTGACAGTAAAAATATATTATATAAAAAGTATAATTATCCTTTTTCTTTTTTATATTTTCGTTTCTTTCCTTTTTTCTTTTTTTCCTCTCAAAAGACAAATCTTAGGAAAATATATTTAATATTCTTACAAATGTTTACATTTATACATACGTGATTAAATTACTGTCGGTGTCCTCATTTTTAAGAAATATGCGGACGTAAAATAGATCAAATGCAAGCTCCTTTTTAACTCTCCTTAAGATTATTAAGCGAGAGAATTATTTTTTAATTGCTGTAAAAAATTAAATATCCGTAATGAAAGATACGATTAATGCTATCTTACATACAAAATTTGTATAACTGTCTTTCCCCGCGTCTATCCCGTAATTATTATCGTGTTATTTTTCTTTTTTTTTTTTTTTCTAGAATTCACTGATCGTGCATTTTGATTGATAGTCGAATCTTTTTTTTTCTTATATATCATCACATACGATCAGATGGGAAGAATAATATTTCGCAGTGCACCTTCCGGATCGATCTCAAATTCTGCTGTTGTCCCTAAATTAAACTGTACCGCGATACCACCATCTAACACCAATCCTCCATTGAAGCACAAAGATTTTACTGTTAATTTTTTACAAAAGTTATATCTTTGCAAGCTCTTTGGTACAGGAAATACCTTTGTCATGTTCATATCTCGTATGGCATAAGAAAGATTTTGTGCTTCTAAAAAAAAAGAAAAGAAGAAAAAAAAAAAAAAAAAAGAAAGAAAATATAAAATTTACCACATAAGATACAATAAAGAAAATCAATATATACATATTTACCTCTGCTCTAACTATTTTTTTATCGTACCTGGATTAAAATGTAAGCTATCATTAAACTTGCAACATATTTCATTTATTTCAGCGTTTGTATAATTCGTTTGATTATCTAATAAATCAAATATTTGACGGACGAGCTGTGGGCTAATACCATTTATTGCCTTATACCATGAAGTCGAACCTGTGCCCGTACTTATGCAAATACCAGAACTTTTAATTCTATGGAAATTTTCTGCGTCGTCAAATTTGATTAACAAAGTGGTCATCTTTGCTGCGAACACTTCGGCCACGAACGCCTGTAACAAGATACTTGTATAATAAATGAAATATATCCGTGTCTCCGGATAATAGCTTTGTAACATTTGGAATAAAATTAAAATAACACACTTCATTTAATGCTAGCCAAGGTAATTGTCTTTCATTTAATTGATCCGAATTAGCCGGTTTAAGTTGCCCATTGGAAAAGAATCTGTTGGTGAAATATACCACGTGTAAGATAAAGGAAATCTATTAAAGATATATTATATTTTAATATCTTTTATATACCTTTCCACACCAAAAAAATGCTTTTCTTCGTGCATATGAAAAGGTGGATTCCAAATTCCTTCTCCTTTCAAAGTAGTTCGAATTCTAGATCTCATGAGTGTATCGTATTGTCCTGCTTTTAATAATTCGAAAATTTGTGATATATTCTTTGTATAATAGGATGGCAACATCAAGAAACCCTCAGAATGGAGTGGATAAGAATTAATGCCTATTATTGGTGTTTTGTTATCGAATATTAAATTGGCAGCTAAGAGAAAAGTACCATCGCCGCCAATGGGTAAAACTAAATCAGCCCAAGTAACGTCGGATCTGCTGATGTTACTCCTAAAAAAAAAAAAAAAAAAAAACAAAAAAATAACAAAATTATTTAATAGAATTTCTATGATTATTTAGAGTCTATACGACTTACCTATTGACCTTTTTGTATTCAATGTTAAATTTGTTAAGTACCTTCGCTACCTCATTTTCAATATCTTTAGTCGCACGATATGTATCGAATAATAAATCATAATCCGAGCCTCTCTCCAACAATTTATTTTTAAATTCTTCTTCATTTAAATTGGGCTCACGTAATTTTTCAAAATGATATCGTGTCAATTTAGCAACGATGAGAACTCTCTTTGGAACGAAGCTCGATGCATTTCGTAAGAATATTCCTAAGGTCTTACCAATGCACTTAGGTTGAGACTGAAGGATCTGCAACGTTCCTAGAAAGATGCAACGACACTTCATTCACGTGCTTACGAAGCACGTGTATGTCACGTCAATGATCGATCGACACGTTTATAAATATAACAAAGAAATATTTCATTTCGATGACTAATAAATATTTCCTTTTTAAAGCAATATCTTGAACGCATACAAACATAACCATATTTGTCGTACTATCTGATAAAGCGAAACGAAGATTTATTTGACAAACGTTACTAACGTACATATAACATATGCATATATATATATATATACATATATATACATATATACATACATATATATATATATATATGATATTGATAACTATTATCAACCGGCGTTATCGATTATCTTGAAATAACCCTGATGAACTTCACAGTCTTTGATTTCTGAATTAACAGATACTTACGTATGTATATCGTAATAAAAAGTAAAATGACGTAATAAAGGAAAAATAAGAAAATCTCACCTACGGTTGTACCTCGAAGACAACCAAAAACCGTCATCGCACACGCCGATCGACGTGCTCGCGACGTTTAAGCGAATTTTAACGAAAACAATTGAAGGCTCACGTCGAAATATTTCTTAAAGATGACGGAAGCGCCGTACGGCGGTAATTTTATGTACCACGTATTCTTGACGAATCAAAAGCATTTTGTATTTCCCGCGATATTTACGATCGACTACGTCGTATCAAATTGAAGTTATAATTAATTTTACCCTCTTCTTTATTTATCACGTTCATTGCTTTGAAAAAAATTTATTAATAAACTTATTAAAGAAGAAATGTTTTACGTCTGTAATCTCTCTTAGTGATTAAAAAGTATTAAGTAAGTAAACGTTAACGAAAATAAATGATCCAACTGTACGGATACACGCTTCGCTTACACTTTATTAATTCATTTGCAATACATTAATTAAGTCTGTTTAAATAGCATCGAGGCTACCTAACGTACGCCTTCGTTTATACTATAGACAATCATCTAACTTAGATCTTTCTCTCACTTTCTGGCTCTCCGTCGTCGTTCTCTCGCAATACATATCTCTCTCTCTCTCTCTTTTTCTTTTTTTCTTTCTTTCTCTCTTTCTCACGCACACACACACAAGCACGCATTTGATCTCGCGTTCACTCGTCCTCTCTTTCTTTCTCACTCTCTCTCTCTCTCTTTCTCTCTCTCTCTCTCTCTCTCTGTGTTACCATCTCACTCTTGCGCTTCTAACATTACACGTGCGCGCGCTTTCTTCGTTTTTTTTTTATTTTATATATATATATATGTATATATATATATATATACACATATTATATATCATATATATATATATATCAGCTTCAATATCGATATCAGTTTTATCTTTATTGTTATTACCATTGTCAATTATCATTATACTATTATAATATATCGTAAGATCGACGTTAAAAACTAAAATTCGTATAAAAAGCGTCGTTATTCGTACTAACAATGTAACTGTGTACTATTTAAATAATAATTGGATCTTAAAAAATTATTTGTTTTTTGTCATGTGTAAGTGTGTTGGTGTGTTTTCATTCGCGAACGTACGAGAGACGTCTCTAACGCATCGTCGGCTTACTAAAGGTATTATTTATTTCATCATATCCTTATATAATATTTTCATCCTTCTCCCTTTCTCATTCTTTCTTTCTGTTTTTATTTCCCTTTTCCTTTCATTACCGACAAATATTCAATTGATCTCATTTCGTATTTTAAATTATCGAGCGCGCTCTATGAGAAATCGTTCTAATGATGCGACCGATAGACATAATGTAAGAACAATCGGGGTGGGTAAGATCGAGTCAGTATAATATAATCTTTATTTAATCATCCGTTTTTTATATCTTCTTCTTTTTTTTTTCTTTTCTTTTTTTTTTTCTTTTCCTTAGTATATTTATTAATTTTCCAACTTTTCTATCATCCCTCTTCTCCTCCTCCTCCTCCTCCACCTCTGCCTCCTTCTCCTCCCACCACCTCTTTCACCGCCATCTTCTTTTTGAAAAGAAGCCAACGTATCTCGTCGTGCGTCGATCGTTTCGATAGAAATTGTACGGGGGAAAGCAACGTGCGTGTGATGCTGTTATTATTATTATTATTATTATTATTATTATTATTATTATTATTATTATTATTATTACTATTATTATTATTATTATTATTATTATTATTATTATTATTTATTATTATTATTATTATTATTATTATTATTATTATTATTATTATTATTATTATTATTATATTATTACCGACATATATGTATAATAACCGTTGATTTGCAGAAATTAATAAAAAAATATTCGTCTCCTACTCTGTTGTATCCGCAAATCAAGATTTGAAATTATATATGTACGTATATATATGTATATATATATATATATGTGTATATAAACATATATGTATACATACATACATATATATATATATATACATATATATTTGTCAAGGTCGCGCGATTTTCGAAACGATCTTATCGGTCCGATCGTTCTTAGATTACGTTTTATACATCAATGATCTCTTGCTTGCTTGCTTGCTTGCTCTCTCTCTCTCTCTCTCTTTCTCTCTCTCTCTCTCTCTCTCTCTCTCTCTCTCTCTCTCTCTCTCTCTCGCTCTCGCTCTCTCTCGCTCTCTAAACATTCATAGTCTTCGTTTCTTTATGACTTTCTAGATATCTCCGTTTTTTCGCCATTTCCTAACACTTTACGTTAGAACGTTTTTTTTCTTACTTATAAGTCTTTAATATATATTTATTTATATATATATATATATTTATTTATTTATTTATTTATTTATTTATTTATTTATATTTTTATTTTATTTATTTTATTTTATTTTATTTTATTTTATTTTATTTATATATATACTCGATCTAATACCAGTTTTTTTTTCTTTTTTTTTTTTTATACGTACTAACGAATGTGTCTTTCTCTTCTCATATCCACCGTAAATATTATATATACCACATTGCTACGGTTGAAACTTATTTTTTTTTGTCGTGTTTTTATGTCGTTATTACATATCTATTTTACTAAATGTTTTACGAGCAATAATGTACATCAATTACATACAAAACAAGATATATCGCGAACGTTTTCTTGTTAATCGTCGTTGCAATGCTTTTGCACATTAACTTATTACTGATTTTTTTTTACTTTCTCTCTCTCTCTCTCTCTCTCTCTCTCTCTCTCTCTCTATCTCACACACATTCTTTTTCTTTCTTCTATTTCATTAATATACGTATAATCAGAAACTAACCGACGTCGTCCGGTATGTACGTATACGTACGTACGTGTATGTTTAGCTGTGTATCCATGTATGTATCCATGTATGTATGCACGAGTGGATGTACATATATGTATATTGAAAACTTCGCGGCTTTTTTCCTTTTTTTTATTTATTTATTTATCTATTTATTTATTTATTTTTTGTTGTTGAAATATATAAATTTCATTCCTAAAGTAAAAAAGAAAAGAAAAGAACGCGAAATTTTTTTAATTCCCCTAATATATGTAGTGCTGT